TGGATTCCCAAGCAGAAAAAACTCCCAGAATAATGCCTGCTAAATATATCCAGAAATAGTCTTCTCCTTCAACTCCATACATCAGATGAACATAATGATCTAGATCTGTGTGCTATTGTCATCCTTTTTTGATACTGACCTAATGTGGAATTTTCTTTAGTTTTTAGCCCAATCCTACACATTTGTTTAGGAGCTGCGGTGGCTCAAGTGGTTAAGATGCTGAACTGCAGGCTGTGGAAGGTCAGTAGTTCAGCAGTTCGAGACCCGGGTGCTGCATGATGGAGTGAGCTCCCGTCTCTAGTTCCAGCTCCTGCCAACCTAGCAGTTCGAAAACAAGAAATTGCAAGTAGATAAATAGGTACCACTTCAGTGGGAAGGTAACAGCATTCCGTGCACCTTGGTGTTTAGTTATGCCGGCCACATGACTACGGAAACGTTTTCAGACAGCGCTGGCTCTTCGGCTTTGAAATGGAGATGAGAAAATAGGTACCACTTCAGTGGGAAGGCAACAGCATTCCGTGCACCTTGGTGTTTAGTTATGCCGGCCACATGACTACGGAAACGTTTTCAGACAGCGCTGGCTCTTCGGCTTTGAAATGGAGATGAGCACCGCAACCCTAGAGTCGGATTCGACTGGCTTTTGAGCAAGGGAACCTTTACCTTTACACATTTGTTTAGAAACCACTGAGTTCACCAGGAGTGATGCACATGGGCTTGTAGCATCATGACCTTTTTTCTGACCTAGAAGATGTATTCCAGACGACCAGCAACTAGAGATGCCAGCCTCCAGGTGGGGCCTGGGGATTCCTTGGTTTTACAGCTCATCTCCAGACTGCAGAGATCAGTTCTCCTGGAGAACATGGATGCTTTGGAGGGTGGAGACTCTATGGCATTGTGTCCACTGAGGTCCCTGTCCTGCCCAGGCTCCACCCCCAAATCTCCAGGAATTTCCCAGCTTGAATCTGGCAACCCTACCTGCCCCAATGGTGGCCAAGGGGGAATCTGGCAACCCTCAAACCAGAACAATAAACTTAGCTTGATCCTTGGATCTGTTAAACGTTTTCATTATGCTGTATGATAATTAACTGCTCACCCTCCACCTCTATAATATATAGACTGGTAATTTCCATTTTTGTTTCTGTCTCGACTCTAATTGGCCTTTACTGGCAACTAACCCGCCCCTCCCATGTAATGGTTGAGGAAATTCTGTTTCACTGTATCTGAGGAAGTGTGCTTGCACACCTTGAATAAAACTTTGCTGGTCTTAAAGGTGCCACTGGACTCAGATTTTGTTCTGCTGCTTCAGATCAGCATGGCTACCCACCTGAATGTTGTTACAGGGAGTCTGTTATTGTATCTGTTACCTTATACATAAAACAATAAACAGATCTTAATGGGGGAAAAGAGTCCCGCATTCGGAGACTGTGTTATTAATAACTAGCAGTAAAGCCCGTTGTGGAAATAAATACAACGGGATCTAGAAAGAGGCTCTGGGGGAGTGCTCTGGCTTTGGGCAAACAGTGTCATTTTGCTGTGGTGACCTCAGCAGGGTATAATGACAGAGTCCACTGTTTTCTCCAGAGGAACTGATCTCTGCTCCCTGAAGAGTAGTTGTAATTTTGAGTGATCTGTAGCCCTCACCTGGAAATTGGCAACAATTGTTACCCAGGACGAAATGGCTGGTTTGGAGGGTGGAGTCTATGGCATTCTACCTGTCTCAGGTCCCACCCCTCCGCAAACCCCACC